TAGTGATGTTCCCCAAGGGTCAGTCCTAGGACCAATCCTATTCAATTTATTCATAAATGATCTGGAGAAAGAGGTAAACAGTGAAGTGGCAAAGTTTGCAGATGATACTAAACTGCTCAAGGTAGTTAAGACCAAAGTAGACTATGAAGAACTTCAAAAAGATCTCACAAAACTAAATGATTGTGCAACAAAATGGCAAATAAAATTTAATGTGGATAAATGTAAAGTAATGCACATTGGAAAAAATAACCCCAACTATACATCCAATATGATGGGGGCTAATTTAGCTACAAGTAATCAGGAAAGAGATCTTGGAGTCATCGTGGATAGTTCTCTGAAGATGTCCACGCAGTGTGCAGCAGCAGTCAAAAAAGCAAACAGGATGTTAGGAATCATTAAAAAAGGGATAGAGAATAAGGCGGAGAATATCTTATTGCCATTATATAAATCCATGGTACGCCCACATCTTGAATACTACGTACAGATGTGGTCTCCTCATCTCAGAAAAGATATACTGGCATTAGAAAAGGTTCAGAGAAGGGCAACTAAAATGATTAGGTGTTTGGAATGGGTCCCATATGAGGAGAGCTTAAAGAGGCTAGGACTTTTCAACTTGGAAAAGAGGAGACTAAGGGGGGATATGATAGAGATATATAAAATCATGAGTGGCGTGGAGAAAGTGAATAAGGAAAAGTTATTTTCTTGTTCCCATAATATAAGAACTAGGGGCCACCAAATGAAATTAATGGGCAGCAGGTTTAAAACAAATAAAAGGAATTTTTTCTTCACACAGTCAACCTGTGGAACTCCTTGCCTGAGGAGGTTGTGATGGCTAGGACTATAACGAGGGTTAAAAGAGAACTAGATAAATTCATGGAGGTTAAGTCCATTAATGACTATTAGCCAGGATGGGTAAGGAATGGTGTCCCTAGCCTCTGTTTGTCAGAGGGTGGAGATGGATGGCACGAGAGAGGTCACTTGATAGTTGCCTGTTAGGTTTACTCCCTCTGGGGCACCTGGCATTGGCCACTGTCGGCAGACAGGATGCTGGGCTGGATGGACCCTTGGTCTGACCCAGTATGGCCATTCTTATGTTATTAACTTCACTTCCATTATGTAATAATCAGTTTCCCTTGTGTCTGGGTGTTTTTCATATAGCAAAAAGAAGAGAGGGGAAAAAGGAAAATGTGATTACAAAACCACAAGTCTTAGCAGTGGGAACTCAGGAGCAAATATACCATCTCAGACAACTTTTAAATACTTTTTTTTTTAAAAAAACCTTGACTGGTTTCAAGTTGCTAGTGTTGTTTCTCTCTTAATGATGATTTCTCTTCTGGGAGGTTTCAGAGTAGCAGCCGTGTTAGTCTGTATCCGCAAAAAGAAGAACAGGAGTACTTGTGGCACCTTAGAGACTAACAAATTTATTAGAGCATAAGCTTTCGTGGACTACAGCCCACTTCTTCGGATGCATATAGAATGGAGTTTCTGCTGCTGTTATGGGTCTTTTGTTTGAGCAACACCCTCTGTTTTATTCAGATTGATAGAGTTCCCTGTTATCGTAATCCAGGGAGAGCTATTAATCAGGAGACAAACTCCAATCTAGTCCCTGAGGTGACTATTTTTATATCTTTTGCTTTGAGTGCTGTATCTTTAAACTTGTGATACATGAACCAACAGAACTGCCACTTAATCTTCTATCCTTAGTTAGCTAAAAGGGATTGTTGCCTGCAATGTTGTGCTGATTTCTATCCAGCATTTTGTCTCAAAAAGCATGTGAGATAAGTGCTGAATGCAGAAGCCACCGCAGGAGGCCAAGACATAATATTAAAAGAATTAATGAAAGAGAGCAAGCCATTGAAGTATAGACTAAATTTTATTGAGAATATGTTACAGATCAAAAATAAGTGATTGGAGTCTCTGCTGCCAGTGACTCTGAAAATATTAATGGTTTGGTGCAAACTGAATACCCAAAGCCCTTAAAAATCTGTCTGTTAAAGAGCCTGTTTGTTAAGAAGACTGACAATGAACAATTCATGCTATCTTAATAATTTGTCTCTCAGGCAAGGTTACAGTCATGGAATTAGGACCTGATCTTCTTCCCATTGACTTCAATGGAAAAACTCAAATTGACTTAAATAGCAACAGGATTGGTTCCTTGGTGCATGGGATTTATTTTCATTGAGGACTCTGGAATGATGGCCTATGCTCCTTTCTTTGTCCTGGGACTAAATGCTCCCCCCTCTCTTGGTTAAACCCATGAGAGGGGAGAAAATCTGAAAACTCTGTCCAGTGCATTATCTCTTCTAGGGCCAGGGACTTATTAATATCCGGGGGGTGGGGGGTGGTCCATGATCTAAGGGGAAACCTACCTTCATCCTTGCAGAGCATGGATAGGTGCCTCCGCTGTGATGCTTCCTGGCCCCACAGCATGGCTGCCATGGGCATCTGGATGAGAAATGCTTTATGTCCCCCTGCTAAATCACACAGAGCACAGCTATACTCTCTTTGACAACTGTCTCTGTTGTTTTGATTGACATCAGCCAGACAATAGAAACAGCAAGTAGATTCAGATGACTCCATCATTGACATGATTGAGATATGAAAAATTAATTTAATTCAGTCACTATTACAATGCAATCATAATTTCTATAGAAATGTTCATATCAAAAGTCATCTCAAGGTGTGCTACAAAAAGCAATCCAAAAATCATTGAATATGGCATAGAAAGGGTCAATTTCCCACACAGTACTGGTACTTTGTGAAAAACTTTGGGAAAAAAAGCTATTTAAAGACAACTCTTCTCATACGCAAACCTGCCAACCCTACCTCAATTAGATTAAGTCAGTTCTTAAAAAAGTCTGTTTTCTTCTGATGAAGGCTCTTGCTCTACGTGATTCAATTAAACATTTAAAATGGTATGCATCATTTTCTGAAATCTTCCTTGTTTGCATTATCACAGCTTGACAGCCCTTTTATGACACAGATTTCCAGTATTTTCTGTATTTAAGATACTTGCATGAAAACAGGAACTTTTTGTAAAAGCAACACTGTCAAAAATATTAACATATAACATTTAGATTTTATAAAGGAAAAAAAAGCAATTAACAAAACCTGAGAGAAATAGAAGAGTTTGTGACATTTATTTTTTAAATTTCAGTGAAAAGATTTAAAAAAAATAGTGTGTGTGTGTGTGTGTATATATATATATATAAAACCACCACTCACTACTTTCCACTTTGTTCTAAACCGTAAGAACTAAAGACACACCAAACTTTTATTATGGAATTTGAAATACATTAATCATGCCTGGTATCAGGCTTCAAGACAAGTCAAAGCTCTGCCTATGTTTGTCAAATGATTCACTAAGGTTCAGAAACCATGTAAGTGGAGAAATGCCCAAATCCAAAAGTCCCAGTGTGGATTTTGAACACTTCCAAAGCCATTATACATCTGCAAAATTCACCTAAACCTCTTTTCTGGTTTTGGTTCCTGTGGTTTTGCACCCCATCTCCCTTGGATTTTACACTTAAATAAAGATAAACTCAGTCAAAACCAGTCTTACTGTACATGCTTTTGTATCAGCACTAGGCAAAAGGGCAAGTTTCCCATGTATTTGATGTGAAATTTTAAATTGACCTAGGTTTTCTGGAAATTGGGTTCAGGTTCACTCAAAAGTAGAGATGGGCCTGAACCAAAAACCTCAAACCCAGATCAGACATGAGAAATGCCCAGTGCTCATATGAAAGCAGTTACAGTAAGACTGATTTTGACTGAGTTTAGCTTTATTTAAATGTGAAACTTCAGGAAGTGTGCTGTGAAACCACAGCAACCAAAACAGGAACAGAGGTTTAGGTGAATCCATTCAAAACAAATCACACTATTGTACACGCCTTTGCTGAGAAAGTGAAATGAAGCCCTTGAGTTTTCTTTGCCCATATGAAGATGCAGAGTGAAAGAGAGTATGACCAACTCATTCAATAGTGGAATGCAGTTGGGTTTGACTAATCTCCAGTGATCCTGGGTCAGAGGAGGTGTTTGAGGAGTGCAAGTGTTATGTATAGGTTTATCTATCTAATTCTAAGCAATGCTCATCATGGTAGTAGTGGGATGATGGGTTTTGGTCCTGAACCAAACACTCCAAACTTTAGGAGGCGGGTTGGAATCTGGACCTGGATCCTGATTTGAATTTCTTCTCTGGTGCCTCATATTAGAATGGGCCAAACTCCAGACTCAAACTTCTTCAGTGAATGAGAGGTTGAAATCTGAACCCAGATTAGATCCAAACTTCATGATTGAGTATCAGTCTGTGAAAGGCTGAATCAGATCCAATGCCTAGCTCGATTGCCTTGGGAGTTGAGATCCAGACCTGAACCCTGATTCATGGGGCAGGCCTCATTCTTCAGCCTCATTCTACCTCCTTTGCCCTATCCCTCTGCAGCCAGGCACCATGATGCATCCCATTCCCCTAGGGAAGACCCTGTTAGCAGCTCCAAACCCCTGTGCTGTGGGGCAAGGCCCTCTGACCACCCAGATCTCACTCCACCCAACATCCCCTGTACTCCCATCCCTCAGCCTGGGCCCTCTGCCCCACTCCACCCCACAGGCCTCCCTCACGCCGCCCTCTGCCCCCTTCAGGTCTCACCTCAGTCCCTGGCCCACTGCCCCTCATCTCCCCACCTGACACGCCAGGCCTCACCTCACTCCCCTGGTGCTCTGTCCCCCCAAACTCACCTCCCCCTCTGGCCCACTGCCCCCTCTGAGACCCCACCCCAGCTCTCTACCCCTCCCCCAATCTTTCCGCCTGAGAGTGACACACGCACCCCGACCCAATCGCACCCCGCTCACTGCCTCCCAGGCGGGGCCCTCCCCTGCTGCCAGCGGCCCAGGCACCTTCCTCTCACCTGAAACTCTGACTCACTCTCACTGCCCCCCCTCCCCCGGCTGTTCCCGCAGCGGCCGCTCCGCCCGCCATCGCGCGGGCAGAGCTCCTAGCCTCTCACCTGCGCAGGGCGGGCGGCCCCGGGAAGAGCCGGCGGAGCTGTAGGGGGAGGTGCCCGGAAGAGCCGGCTAGGCCGTAGGGGGAGGTGCCCGGAAGAGCCCATTTCCTCCTCTCCAGTCGGGACGGGCGCGGCGCAGAGACAAAGCAGCTGAGGCGGCTCCGGGCTCAGGATCCACTGGTGCCTTCTTCCCGTCCGGGACCCGCAGGTAACTTCACGGCCCGGGGCCCCTTCCATCCCGCTGAGTTGGAAACTTTCCTTCCCGCCGCTAACGGGGCCTGGCCCACGGCCCCACCCCCGGGTCACCCCTCCCCCCGCCAGTGGGCCCGGGCCGGACAGCGCGCCCCGCCCCGGGCAGCCCCCAGTCCCGGTAGGCCCTAGGGCGCCTTATGGTGCAGCGGTCCCCGGCCGGGCCGCCGTGGTCTGAGCAGGGCCCCTCGCCCCGCGGGAGCCGCGCTGCCCCAGCACCGCGTGGGGCGGGGCCCGGCGCCGCAGCCGGCCTGGCCCGGCCCGAAGCGGCTCGCACAGCTTACTGGGGCCGCCTCCCACTGTTGGGAGGATCGGGCCCCCGGCGGGGGAAGCAGCTCCCCGCCCCACGCCGGTGCAGCCCGTCGCCTCAGCCGTAGAGCCCGGGGGTGCGCCCAGCCCCCTTCTCCCGGGAGTTTCGGGCGTTAGCGCTGCCCCCAAACTCTAGCTGCTGGCTTTGTTTTAGCTTCCCGGCTCTTTGAGCTCTGGTCAAGTGAAAAATTCTCTAAGCTGTAGCCGCGATAGCCCTAGATATGAGTTGGGTGGGGGAAATATTTCCTATTGACCCCGCTCCTGTTGGCGAAAGAGACATGCTTTCGAGCACACACAGGTCTTGTCTCTGCCACCAACAGCAGTGGGGCCAAAAAAGAGATTCACCCCACCCACCTTTTCTTTGTTTTACCAACACGTCCCTACTCACTATGTCCAACTCCCCATTGGATCATAAAAGACCTGCACAAACAGGATCAAGCTGATTATTGTGAAGGGCTGTCAAAGCACAAGATGACAAAATAGAAAAATAATTTTCCTTAATCTTTCAATTATAGTGACTTTTAGATATTACAGTAACATTAGTAGGGAAAAGTTTTCAGACAAGTATAACTTTGACTTGTTTTGTAAGCTGACATTGTTTCTTGAAACTCTCAATGTACAGAAAATAGTCTGTTAGACAAAGCCCTGGCTGGGATGATTTAGCTGGGAATTGGTCCTGCTTTGAGCAGGGGGTTGGACTAGATGACCTCTTGAGGTCCCTTCCAACTCTGATATTCTATGATTCTATGTTAGTACACAAGTAGTCCCCAACTTTTTAGTGGGGTGGCAGGTGGCCTAGTATTCTACATCCACTTACACGACAGTTTACACACCACTTGCATCATGTATTTGGTCCATACTCCCACCGATGGAAGTTGTGCCAGTTAATAAGAGGACTGAACTTAACCCTATATGCTTTGCTCTCAAGGGCAGCAGTTGTAAGGGGAATGTGTTGGCATTCTCTTTCATTATCTGTGGAGGACTCTGTCTAGTGGATTTTGTTTTGTAGTTGAAGATGTGTGGCTGGAATGAGTAATGTTAGGCCTGTAGTCTGCCAGACAAGTACAGTACTTCTATTAATGCAGTAGCTTAATCGTCATGTAGGCCTCATGCCAAAATCGACACATTGCTGTGCTGTCTTGTAACTGTGAGGTGGTGTTTCTGTATTCTGTTCACTGTAAGAAACGAGAGAAAGTGGTACATAAGAAGAGCCTGAAACTCACTTTATTTTATAAAGAAGAATGGCTACATCACTGGATTGGTTTTCACTTTAGGCATGAATAGCTTTATTTTAAGGCTGTCTTGTTGTGTAGTCTACCTCTGACTTGCAAAAGCAGTAAAACACACGAGGACTCTAGTGATATACTATAGTAAAGTTACACAAGTTCTGGGTGGGGGTAGAGAACCTGATACAAGATGTATTTCTCTTCCAAAGTTACTTATACAATATCTGTACAGCTACCTGGTGATCCTTCTGAACACTTCTATTTCTGGTCAGTAGCACTGGTCAGTTTCTCCCACTGGTCACATGCTATCAAAATCCTTGTCTATCACTTGACTAGTCTTGTATCTGGCCTTGATGCTTGCGGCCTGGCTCCCCTCAAGCCCATTCAAAATGTGGGTGCAAAGATAAGACCATAAGTGGCCATACTGGATCAGACCAAAGGTCCATCTAGTCCAGTATCCTGTCTTCGGACAGTAGCCAATGCCAGGTGCCCCACAGGGAATGAACAGAACACGTAATCATAAAGTGATCCATCCCCTGTCGCCCATTCCCAGATTCTGGCAAACAGGCTAGGGATACCATCCCTGCCCATCCTGGCTAATAGCTATTGATGGACCTATCAAGATAAAGAGCAAAGGCTTGATTGTCCTTCTCCCCTCCTCACTCCATCCTTCAGTCTTTTAATTGGCTTCCCCATCTCCAGTCACACCATATACACCTCTACCCCGATATAACGTGACCTGATATAACACGAATTCGGATATAACGCAGTAAAGCAGGGCTCTGGGGGGCGGGGCTCCGCACTCCGGTGGATCAAAGCAAGTTCGATATAACGTGGTTTCACCTATAATGCGGGAAGATTTTTTTGGCTCCCGAGGACAGCGTTATATTGAGGTAGAGGTGTACAAACTTACCCTGAAAGTCCTTCTCGGTTTTGCTTGTCTTTACTCAACCTATGATGCTAGCCTTAATACCACAAGAATTATCCCATCTTCATGCATGAGGGGTAGGAAAACTTCCTGTCTAAACTTGTAAAATCACCATATTTTCCTCCAAGTCATTCCTCAAAACATACCTGTGTCCTAGTAGGTACTGGAAACCACAGTCTGAAAATTACTAAGCAGGTAGAGATTTGTAATTCCAGTCCTTGTCTTGCCTAAGAACTGTGCATATCCTATCTGTTTCCCAGTCTCTTCCTCCCTCCTGTCTCTCTCTCTCTTCCCCGCCCCCTCCCCCCCCCC